TTTGGTTTCCATGAAAATAATTGATTGTAAATAAACTAATACTAAAGAAAGAAAGTTGATACAATTTTAACTCTTTATTTATTCTACATTTATTAACTTAAAACTTAATTTAAAGCAGGAAAACCAAACATAACTTTACTTATCCACGGATATCACTATACCATCTGCTCAAACGGTTCCCCCACTCTGCACTGCCAGCCTTTACTACTTCCTTTACCACTTACGTCGTGGACCTGTATTCATCGCTTTCCATAGCATTTTAGTATTTTAGATACGTTAATCTAATTGCAACAAACATCCCCACTGTCCGTACTGCTAGACTTTACTACTTCTTTCACAATTTCCTATGTCTTGGGCATGCTTCCATCCCTTCTCATAGCATTTCAGCATTGCAGATACATTAAAACTGCTACAAACGGTTTCCAGTTCCCACACTCCACACTGCTCACCTTACTACTTCTTTCACCTGTTCCTACGTCGCGGATCTGTTTCCCTCTCTTCCCATAGCATTTTAAGATTGCAGATACCTGAATCTAATCGTCATAAACAGATCCCACACTCCGAACAGATCGCCTTTACTACTTCCTTCGCCACTTCCCACATCGCGGACCTGTTTTCCTCCCTTTCCGTAGCATTTTAGGAACGTTGTGACCTTAATCTAATCGTCATAAACAGTTTCCATACTCCAGACTGTTCACCTTTACTACTTCCTTAACCTCTTCATACGTCACGAACCTCAAGCTAGTGTCGTCATTTGATTATAGTACCTGGGGACCGAGCTTTGCTCGGGGAAAATCATTAGTTCACTCTGAAAGCACCGTAGTATCGGAGATGCATAAATCCACACATCTACATCCTACACAATTTCCTACGTCATGGATCTGTTTCCCTCCATTCCATTGCATTTAAAGATTGCAGATACCTTAATCTAATCGTCATAAACAGTTCCCACACTCCGGACTACTCGCCTAGACTATTGCTTCACCACTTCCTACGTCGCGGACCTATTTTCCTCCCTTTCCATAGCATTTTAGAATTGCAAATACCTTAATCTAATCGTCATAAACAGTCCCCACACTCCGGACAGCTCACCTTGACTACTTCCTTCATCACTTCCTACGTCGCGGACCTGTTTTCCTCCCTTCCCGTAGCATTTTAGGTTTGCTGATACCTTAATCTAATTGTCATAAACATTTCCAACACTCCGGACAACTCGCCTAGACTACTTCCTTCACCACTTCCTACGTCGCGGACCTATTTTCCTCCCTTTCCATAGCATTTTAGGATTGCAAATACCTTAATCTAATCGTCATAAACAGTCCCCACACTCCGGACAGCTCACCTTGACTACTTCCTTCATCACTTCCTACGTCGCGGACCTGTTTTCCTCCCTTCCCGTAGCATTTTAGGTTTGCTGATATCTTAATCTAATTGTCATAAACATTTCCAACACTCCGGACAACTCGCCTAGACTACTTCCTTCACCACTTCCTACGTCGCGGACCTATTTTCCTCCCTTTCCATAGCATTTTAGGATTGCAAATACCTTAATCTAATCATCATAAACAGTTCCCACGCTCCAGACAGCTCGCCTTGACTACTTCCTTCACCACTTCTTACGTCACGGACCTGTTTCCCTCCCTTCCCATAGCATTTTAGGATTGCCCATACCCTTATCTAATTGCCATAAACAGTTCCCTCACTCCTGACAGCTCGCCTTGACTACTTCCTTCACCACTTCCTACGTCGCGGACCTATTTTCCTCCCTTTCCATAGCATTTTAGAATTGCAAATACCTTAATCTAATCGTCATAAACAGTCCCCACACTCCGGACAGCTCACCTTGACTACTTCCTTCATCACTTCCTACGTCGCGGACCTGTTTTCCTCCCTTCCCGTAGCATTTTAGGTTTGCTGATACCTTAATCTAATTGTCATAAACATTTCCAACACTCCGGACAACTCGCCTAGACTACTTCCTTCACCACTTCCTACGTCGCGGACCTATTTTCCTCCCTTTCCATAGCATTTTAGGATTGCAAATACCTTAATCTAGTCATCATAAACAGTTCCCACGCTCCAGACAGCTCGCCTTGACTACTTCCTTCACCACTTCTTACGTCACGGACCTGTTTCCCTCCCTTCCCATAGCATTTTAGGATTGCCCATACCCTTATTCTAATCGTCATAAACAGTTTCCGCACTCCGGACTACTCGCCTTGACTACTTCCTTCACCACTTCCTACGTCGCGGACCTGTTTTCCTCCCTTCCCATAGCATTTTAGGATTGCAGATACCCTAATCTTATCGTCATAAACAGTCCCCACACTCCGGACTGCTCGCATTTACTACTTCCTTCATCACTTCCTACGTCACGGACCTGTTTCCCTCTATTCCCATAGCATTTTATGATTGCCTATACTACTTCCTTCACTACTTCCTACGTCACGGACCTGTTTCCTTCCCTTCCCATAGCATTTTAGGATTGCAGATACCTTAATGTATTCGTCATAAACAGATCCTAGACTTCGCACTGCTACCCTTGACTACAATGTATCGAGTAATCTTAAGTATAATCTTTGCTCAATATTAACAAGTGATGTTTTTCCTTTTGTACTGTATTTGTAATTTCCTAGTATACTGTGGGTAGTTGGCTTATTATGAGCACATGCTAAAACTTCAAATCTTTTGTTTACTTTTTACTTGTTATTTAATTCAGCCAACATGGTTACCTAGCAACCCATAAGACTAATGTTAAAAAAATGTGATTTTCAGTTTCATTTTTCTACGGATTCCTGAGAGACTTTTTTAACGCCATATAGATGTTGGCACTCACCGATATGGTCTTTATCACCATGCAAAATTTGAAAACGATTGATTCAGCCGTCTAGGAGGAGTTTGCGTATTACGAAATGCATAAAAGTCGACGTATAAGAGCTTCGCTCGCTTCGCTCGCTCCGCTCAATGAAATTGTTCACACGCCAAGCTTATACATAAATAAACTTGTAACTCGCTGAAGTGTTGTCTAGTTGTCAAAACAATTTACTTTTCATTTTGTAAATGACAGCCTTTAGCAGGTATTGACAACGATATAATGTACATGTACAGCATAAATACAGGACGACTTGAGTACCGGATACGGTTGCTAAATGCAATTTAAAGTCTTGAATAACGTAGGTATTTTGAATATCAATAGGTGACCTGGAAGTTATTTGGTGAACAGTAATGTTCATAAAATAAACTTTTAGTAAGTAAAACACACAATCAACAGCCAAAAATTACAGTGTGTTCATTTTGTTTGTGACTTCTGTTAAAATAACGGAGTAAACAAAATTGTCGACTCAACAAAAGTTTGTTATTAAACCACAAAACTTGTCAAAATAATTTAAGAAATCAATAATAAAATGCCAATATATAAATTGATACCGTAAATATTTTTTTATTAATCTGATTACTGTTGCTTATTTTTACGTCCAGTAACAAATAATGGAATATCGGATAATATCCCACGATTTATGGATGATAATCCTCTGAGATTTATTTTGAACCCTTGATATAGCGAATAAAAACCTAAATATTTAACTAACCTAACTTGTAGACTTTGTAAAGTTCTTTCTACGAAATACTGGATTATCGAATACATTATAGCAACATTGAATCCATGCCAATAAATAATAATTTGTATGAGTAGTCATTAGATTATTAAATAGATTAGATGGATTTAGTTTTTAATTAACAATATTTACATATATATTTTGAAGAATTAGCCCGTTTTTTTCACAAATAATTTCTTTATCAATATTTAGGGATTTGCGTTAGACTCATTTTATGTCCTTGGGGCTAATAGTGTGTACAGCAATTAATTATTTCAAAGTAATTCCCAATTTTAAATTGAAATTTAAATAAAAAATATTCCGAATCAATTCACTTGAATTTATCATCAATACAGAATTTGTGTCAGAAATATCGACGTGAGTTGAACACCTATAAACCTGTTTCAATGCAATTCGATACATCTCTATCTGAACAATGCATGTTATCCGAAATATCCAGATGGTTTGAGGGACCCCAGATTATCTTCGATGCTATTCACCCCAACCACAACGATTCCCATTCAACGTTCAACGCTATTTATTTAATACCAGGACAATGCATTACTTAAGTGTGAAATAAGAGAAATATTTATATATATACATTTTAAGTGTAAATGAACACGAAATATGCAAGTCTAATATCTACACTGTGTGTTTGGTGAATTTATGTAAGGAATAGTAATTTTAATGAAAAGTTTGTTAGATTGCAGAATATGTCATTATTCTTTTGCAAATTTAATATTTACAATAGTTTGATAAACAGTAATTTTTAAATAAATGTATTTATGGGCGCTTAGTGTTTCGTGTATTCAGCTGGTTATTGATATTCCTATTTACCACTTTACCGTTCCTAAATCCTAATAATTTAGATGCTTAATACCTATCACAGAACTGTTTAAATGATCCTGGTTAAAGCGTCAACTTTTCTGATTTTCAAATTATACCAACCAATTGACCAACGAGTCTCCTTGCCAAACAAACCAGTTGACAACAATTATAAATTAGATAAGTACACATCGTCCACATGTCATTTTGTTAAAGTTTAATTTGGTTTATATGTAATTTTGTTGGCATTCCATTTGACCTACATTTGAGATGAAATAAAAATGATTAACTCAATTGGTCGTCAAGTCATTTGGTCGACAAATCACTTGGTCGACAAATCACTTGGTCGACAAGACACTTGGCCGACAAGACACTTGGCCGGCAAGACACTTGACGGACAAGTCACTTGGCAGACAAGTCTCTTGGTCGAAAAGAAACATGACCGACAAGTTACTTGTTTAAAAACTTACATTTCTACAAAAGTTGAGTATGATTAACAACATCTTGTGACTCATGTCATTGTTGATTTTGTTTGTTGATTGTAATTTTGTTATTGTTATAATATCGAAAACTATAACTCACCTGACAGCTTTGTGGAAGTACTGCAAAGCCTCTGTAAAGCGTCCTTGTCCCTCCAGAGCGTGGCCCACGTTGTTGAACAGTTTGGCGTTGTGCTGGTTCACTCTTAGCCCCGCCATGAATATGCTGTACTCTGACGTCCAATCCCAGTTGCGGACGATGGTTTTGGTCCCGTGGGCGAGCAGAAGCAGGAACAAACCCGTCCACGCCAGCTTCCTGTTCCTGTCATAGAAGAAAAACATGTGATCAATGTTGACTCTAGTGGTAGTTTTAGTTTTGGAGCCTATCTTTAGGTTTCACAGAAACATAGAAATACACAATCTAGCCGATGAAGGCCGTTTGAAAACTGCATTGGAAAGTTTTTATCTGTTCGTTACCATTAAGTTTTTTATAATACATCGTGTGCGTATATTGTTTCTGTGTTTTAAATGGCAATGGGAGATATGCATAAATCTGCCATATGAAACGTTTGTTTGAAATTTCTGTGACAATTGAAAAAGTATGAAACCACTTTCATTTAATGGGAAATAGCATTCAGCAGGAGGCAAAAGTAATGTATTATTCACTTATAATTCCATATACTTCTTGCACATTTTTCTTTTGATAATTTTAAACGTAAACATGTATTTACCTCTTTTCCGCGAGCGCCTGCCAGCCGTAAGCTACGAGCATGCAGAATCCCATTGACGGCATGTACAACACTCTCTCGGCCACAACGAAGCCGACTGGGAAAAAGAGGTTTGACGCTGGAAGAAACGGCAATCCCAGGAAAGCCAGGCTCTGGAAAATACGACACTTGTATGACTGTTGAGTAATGTAACTACCGTAATAGAACTTATCACCTTAGTAATAAATATTGTTTTCTGTTAGTTAGTTTGATTTTTAAGTGATATTCTCGCCCAAGGGTTACACTGAACTACGACACCGACTCTTATATTCATGAAGAAATTTAAAACATTTTCGTTCCATTAATTATGATCAATAACTTAACTATACCATTGTATTTGTATTTGTTTGTTATAAAGAGTTTTAAATGTAAATGTAATATAAATGTAGTTTTAAATGTAAAGTGTAAGACTTAAAATGGTTTACAATCCTGCAAATAGTAATCCTTGGTTGCTGTATTGACAACTACGGTTTGGTTTTTAATTTCCAATGGGCTTTAAAGGAAGTGACGACTTTTGACTCCTTGTATGCCTCATGTTTCAACTTCCAAGTTGAAGTTAAAAGTTCTTAAAGAGAAACTAGTTGCCACTACAGCAATCATACTTGCAATACTTACAGGTATTGTAAACCATTTGAGGTATAAAGTAGTAATTCGAAGGCTAAAGTGCTTTGGTAAAGTACAAGAAGTAATCGCAAATCCAAAAAATTGTATATAGGAGGTTTCCAAATGGTTAAAATCCTTAAGCCACTGTAAAGTCTTTGATTTTAAAGACTTAAAGTTGGGTTCTGGCTATGTTATAGTGTCTTCTTTATATGCATTGACTAGTATACAGCAAACTAGTTTCGACCGATGAAATTCTTTAATAATTCAAGATACATACCATTGCGATGACAGTGGCCTGCTGTCGATTGGACGTTGTGAGAGCGACATAAACCAGGGTAGCAATCAGCAGATATGACGTGAGAGTGGCGAGATTGCGACGATCAACGAACGACTCCACAAGAGGAACCGTTCCCATCGTCCAGTCACAGCACAAGTCACAAGGGAACAACAGGAGCCACAGGTTCATGCTGACCAAGTAGTTGTAGGTGAGCTGACGAGACGGCGATGGTGCCACTGACGCAGGGTTGTCGAACCTGAATATACAAAAAGGTGTGATAGTAGATATACAAAAAGGTGTGATAGTAGTGAGATTTGGCAATCAACGAACGACTCCACAAGAGGAACCGTTCCCATCGTCCAGTCACAGCACAAGTCACAAAAGAACAACAGTAGCCACAGGTTCATGCTGACCAAGTAGTTGTAGGTGAGCTGACAAGACGGCGATGGTGCCACTGACGCAGGGTTGTCGAACCTGAATATACAAAAAGGTGTGATAGTAGATATACAAAAAGGTGTGATAGTAGTGAGATTTGGCAATCAACGAACGACTCCACAAGAGGAACCATTCCCATCGTCCAGTCACAGCACAAGTCACAAAAGAACAACAGTAGCCACAGGTTCATGCTGACCAAGTAGTTGTAGGTGAGCTGACAAGACGGCGATGGTGCCACTGACGCAGGGTTGTCAAACCTGAATAGACAAAAAGGTGTGATAGAAGCGAGACTTGACTATGAACGAACGATTCCACGAGAGGAACCGTTCCAAAGTCACAAAAGAACAACAGTAGCCACAGGTTCATGCTGACCAAGTAGTTGTAGGTGAGCTGACGAGAAGGCGATGGTGCCACGGATGCAGGGTTGTCAAACCTGAATATACAATTGGTTAATTGGAAAATACCAATTGATAGTTGTAAATGAAAACATACTACTAGTTGAAAAATAATAGAGCACTGCATCATATACTGACCAGGTAGCTGTACTAGGGAGCTGAGTAGAATATAAAGGTTAATAATTCATAGAATTAAACCTGCTTTTTCTGTTGACAATTCTTTAAAGAACTGATCAGACGTATAATTCAGTTTACTCTTATCAGACTTTAAGTTGACGATTGATAGAATTGTTAGAAGACGTTTAATTAGTTGACAGTTTGTAGAACGGAAGAGATGATGTGTCAAAGGTAGAATTGAAAGTGAACTATCTAGGGTAGAAGGGGGGAATTGGGTATTAGGGGTAATTGGGTATGAACTTTTTTGAAATTTATTTTAAAATACATGCTTTATATTAAATACCCCCGCCGCAGCAAACCTGCCGTCTAAGCGAATTTCCATTTGGCTGAATTGGTTTTTTAATTGATCTATTTAAATAACATTGGGTACATTAGGTACGAGTACCTAGGTTTGCTGCTACAAGGAAACTAATAAAGTAGTGTGTTTTTAGTAAAATATTGATAGCTTACTATAAAATAAATAAATTTGCCAAGTTTGATCAAAATATATCCATAAACAAGCAAACTACAACATTTTACAATATTCTCCATAAGAATAACATGGGAATTTTAAATTTACCATTTTTTTAGTTTTCTCCGTAACCAATAACCGTACAAAAACACTTTGATATACTGAATTGTTTGTTTTTTTAAGCTCTTTAAGAAGGTTTGGAGAAAAATTGGGAAATTTTGTATTTAGAGGGTCAAAAGTGAGAAAAACCAATTTTTACCCCATAAAACCCCCCATAAAACACTGTTCCCATGGTCCGATCATGCTGGATCGCGAACTCGTTCAAGTTTATCCCCCCTTACACCTTCAAACCAAATTTCATCAAAATCGGATAAAAATTACTCAAGTTATCGTGTTCACGGACACATATATATATATATATATATATATACATATATAAAAATTTGAACGAATGGTGTTTTTGGCCTCTGGGGACAACAAAATGAAAAAGTAAATCGGTCCCGGGCCTAAGTCTTACCATGAGACCTACGGTAATAGCTACTTCCCTATAGGGAAATTCGCTAAAAGAATTAAAAAATCTGTAGTAATAGCTAGTTATGTTTTATAAACCTCAAATTTATTTTAGGTTGTTATCTTGAAATTGAAACGAGTTAAAATATAATTTGTTCACCCCTTACGTTTTTCAATTTTTAAAGTGCCTATCAAACTTGGCCCGAGTAACCTTGGAAACACTATAAACATTTTAGTAACTGCTAAATATTTACTTTTATCTCATAAGAGCAAAGTATACATACTAATAGTAAGAGTCAAACTTGTCTTGAAATGCTTATTTGTGTTTTCTTAATAACACCCATTTTCCCAGCATTTTTAATAGGTCATTTTAATGTATAATAGGTGTAGTACCCAATTCCCCCCTTTGGGGTAATTGGGTATGAACAATATATATTTTTTTTAATAGAACAAAACAACTTGCAGATCTGAAAATAAGAGAAAAAATGTCCATTGGAAGCCTTTAAATGAAGGCATAAAAGTTGTAAAGTGATTCAATTTGTTTTAGCCTACAAAGTACATTTTACAAAACCTAGTACCCAATTCCCCCCTTCTACCCTAAGTCATAGTGAATGCACACACAGTACATGTGCATGTAAAGAAAATTCTTTAGTCAGATTAACGATTTATAAAGCAATTATTTTGATACATTCTTAATATAGCTCATTAAACTATTAACTATGATTAAAATAACGATGCAAGACGTAAGTTAAAGCTATATATAAGTTTGTTAATATGCAAAGAGTGTACAAAAAATACACGAAACCCAGTGACATAATTAATATATCCTAGGGCAAAAAAATGTTAAATTTGTTTACAGGAAAGCAACCGTGAAAATTTGTCCAGTTTAATTTATTTTCCAACAAAGTAACTTGGTTATTGGCTATAAACACAGAGATTGAAAGCCATAAAAGAAGACCATAACATTAAACCAATTTCCTCTGACAAGGGAAAATATTGATGCAACGGAACGGTTTAATGTACCATTTGAAATTGCAGCGTAAAATAATAACAAGATAGGTAAATAATAAGTGTTTCGTGAATTATAATAGGAAATTAAACGATATGTTTAGTATTTGACATTTTAATAAACGGTCGATTTCTACAGCAAATTCCTCCCTAACGAAGTTAAAACTTCAATGAATTAAAGGGCACAAGTTATTCTCACGAACACCGATTTAAGCAATACAGGGTGATTGGTACTCAGTATGACAAAAGTTTTTTGGTGTAAGTACAAAGTAAATGAAGTGTGATGATGCATGTCAAATGTTCCAAATCTAAAAATTAGCTTCCCAAAAAATTATTTTATGTTTTTCAAAAATAACCATGCTTTTAAACTTAATACAGCGATTTCTCAATTACCTGTATATGGATTTGAGTAGACAATGTCACTTTCGTGTTCTACATTAAATTATAAACAAGAATAATAGAAAATGACGGAGGATCAGTTGTAAAAACTCCATTGTAATTAGATTCAAAGATAAAAATTAAGATGTTTGATAAAAATTAAAAAAAAAACAATGGTATATTGCTTTTTTCACACCCTGTATACAAGAAAGTGTCGGAATATGTTAAAAACTGCGCCATTTTATAAGCTTTCCAACCATATGCTACACCATTGAGCTTTACGTCAGCTTATGTACGCTTTAGTGCTTTGAAGACTAAAAAAGCATGGTGTCTTTAACATTTAAAACATAGAAAGTCGGCATGTATTAAGCAAAAGTTGTATTTTTGTTTCAGCTTGAACAGTAAAAACAGTAAAAACGTTCCCTGTTTTCTGGCATTCAAACCACTAAAACAAACAAAATAATATCTAAACCTCAATAGTGTAGCATATGGTTGGAAATCTTATAAAATGGCGCAGTTTTTAACATATTGCGACACTTTCCTGTATACAGGGTGTGAACAAATGCATTTGACCAATGTTTTTTGAATTTTTACCAAAAATCTTAATTTTTATCTTTGAATCTATTTACGATGGAGTTTTTACAACTGATCCTCTGTCATTTTCTATTATTCTTATTCAAAATTTAATGTAGAACACGAAAATGACATTGTCTACTCAAATCCATTTACAGGTAATTGAGAAATAGCTGTATTAAGTTTAAAAACATAGTCATTTTTTAAAAACATAAAATAATTTTTTGGGAAGCTAATTTTTAGACTTGGAACATTTTATATGCATCATCACACTTCATTTACTTTGTACTTACACCAAACAAATTTTGTCACACTGAGTACCAATCACCCTGTATAAAAATTGTCAAATATTATAACTATAGAAAATTATAATACATTTAAAATCTAATTGGAACAGAAATTGCCACGACAAAGCTATCACGATGCAATGACCAGAGTTAACAAACACGTCGTTTTACAAGCAAACACGTCTGCCGTATATACGCCACAAATTGATCAGGGAATATGTTTGTTTGGTAAGTTCAAATGAAGGGGTTGGGTCTGATGTTTGCCGTTTGTGAGACGAAATTTACAGGTAACTGCTTCACCAAACATAACAAATGCGCAACTGAAACCAACTAGGACAGCTAACGAGGAAGTCGATGCAAATTAACCGAACATTTAAACGTTTCAACTGGCAAATGCAATTGATCTTGCCTTTGATTCGACCAAGGGAGCTTGGAGTTCAAATGCAATACAGTGGAACCTCAATAACAAGTCAACACTCATTTTTTAATCCCCTAGAATTTATTTTACCCCTAATTACATGTTATTGCAAACCTCATTAAGAAGTCAACCTTGATAACAAATATTATTTAATAATCCCCACGAGAGTCTTGTTATCAAGGTTTTACCAGTTTTAAGTAAAATAAAGAGCGTCGAAGTAAAACTTTAGAGTTAAATAACCAAGATTCTGAAATTCTTTAAGCACAAAGAACTAGTAACAATATGGTATTTCTAGTGTTGTACATTGTTTTCCTTCCTTGTTTCCTTGTTGGCCCAAGAAATTAATTATCTTAAGCTATGGTGGACGGTTAAGTCTCATTGCTTCTGAAAATAATATTTCTAGTAATATAATTATAAAACAGTTTAGGATATTCTTTAACATTTTTTATCTAGGGTCCACAAAATTATGAAACTTTTTTTGTTTGCACATAATTAAAAAAGTAGACTGACCTTGTAAAGACAGGAAGTTTGGATCCCATGATCTGAAGTCTGACAAGCAGCAAGGCAACAGTTGAAAGCACCAACACACACAGTCTCTTGGCAGCATCTGATGACCATGTGTGTTGCCACGACACTTTGCCACTGAGCACACAACACAGGAACTGTGTCACATCCACCAGCCGCACCTGTATAAAGACCAGCAGAGTTAGACACAACACACACAGTCTCTTGGCAGCATCTGATGACCATGTGTGTTGCCACGACACTTTGCCACTGAGCACACAACACATGAACTGTGTCACATCCACCAACCGCACCTGTATAAAGACCAGCAGTGTTAGACATAGCACAGTCTCTTGGCAGCATCTGATGACCATGTGTGTTGCCACGACACTTTGCCACTGAGCACACAACACATGAACTGTGTCACATCCACCAGCCGCACCTGTATAAAGACCAGCAGAGTTAGACACAGCACACACAGTCTCTTGGCAGCATCTGATGACCATGTGTGTTGCCACGACACTTTGCCACTGAGCACACAACACATGAACTGTGTCACATCCACCAGCCGCACCTGTATAAAGACCAGCAGAGTTAGACACAGCACACACAGTCTCTTGGCAGCATCTGATGACCATGTGTGTTGCCACGACACTTTGCCACTGAGCACACAACACATGAACTGTGTCACATCCACCAGCCGCACCTGTATAAAGACCAGCAGAGTTAGACATAGCACAGTCTCTTGGCAGCATCTGATGACCATGTGTGTTGCCACGACACTTTGCCATTGAGCACACAACACATGAACTGTGTCACATCCACCAGCCTCACCTGTACAAAGACCAGCAGAGTTAGACACAGCACACACAGTCTCTTTACAGCACCTGACGACCATCTTCTTTTAAAATTACGACGAATTATTAAAATATTATTTTAGTGGTAAACTCATTATTTGTGCTTTACTGTTTGTTTATATAAGTAGGACCTGAGTTGTTGTTTGGATAGTTTTATTTGGCTTAACGAGGTTTTAAATGGCTGAAAGAACAAGAATCAAATTGTAAACAAAACATGGCCTCTACACTGCACCTGACAGAACTAACAATAAAATTGTCTTCGGACGTTCCATAAGGAGAAGTCTACTAAGGAAGTATGTTTTATCCATGGCATCACTATGTTTACCTGAGTGGGTTGAAATGTCGTAAACCTTAAATAAAATGTCATTTTTTATTTGTTTCACCTGTTTTTAATCAATTACAAAACTGATTATACTCAACCGTTTGGTTTAGAGAAACAGGATCAAACCAAAAATGTGTATTCTTATATGGACTACATTTTGTATATAAAGTGTTTTCCTGTATCTATAATAATAAAGAAATTATGGCCAAAATGCAGAAATATGCCGCCATTTTCCAATTTGGCTGCCGTAGCAAAGCTTCAATTTCAGAGGAATTCCTAATGTTCAAATGGAAGGTACACCTAACATCTGTACCAAATTCCTTGCTTGTGCTAATATTTTTTGGGTCAAAACATATTTATATTGTACAGTATCCAAGGTACCATTTAAAATTCACCCCCCCCCCCCCCCCCCCGATTTGGACCCCGCTTTTGTTCAAAATACCCCTCTCGATCGAACTACCCTTCATATTTGACTTAAGGGCAATACTCGGTACAGTGGAAAGACCAGTGTCGGTAAAGCAGTATGCACAGGTCACGAGCAACAGCAGGTTATGCGAGACAACGATTTAGTTCTCGCTCTAATTTTTGCTCATTGATTTGACCACCCATGTCAAATCGCTTTAATACTGTTTGTCTTAAGGGCAACATTAAAACAGTGGAAGAATAGTGACAGTGCAGCAGTATGCATATGTCAGAAAAGCTGGATAATGATTTGGTTCTCGCTCTAATTTTTGCTTTCGGATTTCACTACCCAAGACTTTGAGTTGTTTTGTTGCTGACTCGTCCACTTGTGAGCAGTATAAAATTATGTATCAATTTGTGCGATTGGCAAAAAATATCCTAAATCCAACAAACGTTTTACCTTGCGGTAATCGATTCATTAGTTGAAGTTGAGTATATGTCCCACCAAGAGGCCCCACTTTGGTCATGAACCTGGAATTGTTGACGGACATAGCCATAATGTGTCAGGAAGAGACCATTCTATGAAGACAACCAACAACGAAATCGTGAAGATTAAACTCATTAACAGCATTGAAGAAATTACTAAATGATAAGCCGTAAATGCACAAACTCCTTCATACCTTCAACAAAGAGTATGACAACGACTCATTGAACTAAAGGTCTACCTACACCGGGCAACTCAAACTCCAGACGGGCGGACCTCGTTTGCGCTCTAATCCTCTGTTAGGTAGAAAGTTGATCTCGTTTGCGCTTCAAGCCCAGAAGGGCCCACAGGTACCCCATCAGGGAAATCTCGTTTGCGCTTTTTGGCGGCATAATTTGTAAAATATATCCGCGGATTGTAATTCCTGCTCTATCGTATAGTTAGTTATAAGTATACACTAACATTCAGAGTCGAATGGGTCAGAGTTCAGAGTTATGACTTGCTTTCTTATTGAATATCATACTCGATTGTGAACTACAGTATATTAAAATCCTATATTAAAATTAAGTACTAGCCTAGTATTTTCTTTAGCTGTACTCTTTATATTCTATTATGGGCTTATTAAAACATTACACATTTATACTTTTAACGCATTATATATTTCCCCATTCCCATGCGTAAACATATTTATACAAAAATCAATCTGAAAAAGAGTATGTTATATATATATATAGTAATTGAAATATTATAGATGTTATTGATTTAACTATTTACAATACAAACAACAAACAATAAAAGAAATATATACATAATACTTAACCCTATATTTAAATAGTTATTTGTGTAACTAGTGAGCAAAGGCCTTTTGCACTCGTGTTACACATTATATTTTTCCTACAGTCACTATAAAGCATATAAATAATTAGTCTTTCAAACACTATACAACACGTTTTTAGGTTCAGCTGGCAACACAAATTGGTGCCCTAGAGGAAGTTAGTCTCTGGTCCGTATCACTCCACTATTTTTTCCTCGGCAAGCAATGTGCTCCGCGACTTGAGAAAATAGTTCCGTATATTTTTGTAATTTGCAGTGGTTTCCGCGCCTAAAAAAATGCTTTAAAGATATTTTGTTGTTTATTAAGATTGTAGGAGTGTTTTAAAACGTTTAAAAGAAAAGTCCAGAAAGTTCAGAAATACCGAAAGGAGAACGTAAACTATAAACACGAAATGGCAGGTTCAATCGTAGTTATAATAGTCAATCAGCTGTTCATAGTATTATTATCTTTAAGTGTTGCCAACCTATTTCCAAGCGTACACGGATTACGTGCATAATAGAACCACGCTGTTTTGTGTTGTTTCGTTAGAATCCTGATGTGCGCCAAAGTATAAACCGTACGACAAAGTATAAATATGCAGCAATCAGCAGCTTTCTGTACTATAAACAGTACAAGGGAGCCAACTTTGTCGGGTGACTGTAGGAAAACTTATTTCTCTACACTCGCCCTGTACCCCACACATTTTATAAAGTCCATTTTCCCAATTTTTTCTTCTCCTAACTGAACAATCTTTTCTCCAAGCCACTTGGTCTTTAGATAAGTTTGTTGTCACGGCTGCGTTCACAAGGAGTAGACCTATTTACAAATAGTTATCCAGTGTGTAAGGGTTTGTTTACAAATAGTTGTCTAAAGGGGAATACCGTCACGTTGGCTACCTGGCCCGAAGAAAGCGCAAACGAGATAGGGGATTAAGTGACCCTTGCTAATCCTTTTGGGGGGTCCGGATTAGAGCGCAAAAGCAGTACGACCCTCCAGACAAGCAGGTGGTAACATCAAAGGCTTATAAAACCAAATTTGAGCTAAAAATAGTCAGGCCTACTCGGTTAAACTTATGAAAAAAGTTGTTTCGTTGATTTCGATGTTAAGTTTTACTAAAGCAACAGATAATCTATAAGCATTTTTCCGTATTAATTCTTGTAAAATGATTTTGATATATTTATTTTATTGATGCAGATCAGGTAGTTATTAATTTCCCTAAAAGAAGAGTCAAACATATTGTATTGTATTTAAACTGTAACTGGCTTATTGCCAACTCTGTCATATTATGTTTTCTGCTATTGGCAAAACTATCGTTTCCTCCTTTAGGTCAGCCACAATATACTTTGCATAGTTGGGAAAGTTTGTCAAAATTTCTAACTAGTCAAAAGTTAAAAGTTCCGTAAAAAGTAAACTGATGGAAGTTACTAGTTAGTTAGTTTAAAAAGTAACTGATAGAAGTTATAGTTATAGAAAATAAAGTTAGTTTTCGACTTTCGTAGAAGATAGCTATATGTTGGACAGTTTCAAAGTATTTAATATATAATGAAATAATGACATGTCTTGGTAACTAATTGTGTTAAAACGAAATATTAATTAAACATCGCCACATTTACATTACATTTTACATTCATTATATACTACAACAAAATTAAATTAAAATGCCTATTAATCTTTAAAAGAAGTTGTTTTTCAAAATTGAATTGAGGATAAAATAAAGTAATATGTTTCCACCATGCAATTTGTATAATTCATTCCCTGAATCCTAACCTCCTTAGTATAATAACCTCACACTTACAATAGCATTATTTGTTACATCATCATGAACAAAGAATTATCTAATATTGGCATCAGTAGGCCTACAGCTTTACATGGGCATTATTTTGTATAGGGCCTAAAATAGTAATAAGCTAAGGGCTAAGCAACACGACAAATGGAGAACTCATTGAAAAAAAGATATTGTATAAACTAATTCACTATAAAACTCACAAACAGTTAATAACACACACACAATGTTTATGATATAGTTAGTAAGGACTGTAAAAAATGCATATCATATCATACAGTAAGTCTTTCATATTGACCTACTGCAAGAGATTAAAATCCTAAAACGACTGATTTTGATAGCTAATGAATGAAAAGAATTAAAAATCCTTAATTACAAATTACTTTGTGTGTTACAAAATGTCTGTGACGTCATTTTAATTATCCCTGTCCGCCGCTTTAGACAATATAAATTAAAATTAATAGACTCGACCAATCATGAGTAACACTATACTCAAGCTACGTCTAAAACAACACAGGTA